GTCGACTTCGTGGCGGATGTCGCTGCCGATCTGCGTTCTCCGGTGAATATCCTTCGGTTTCGCTCCTTCCACAAGTAATAGGCGGATGCTTGCACAATCAGTTTTGCCAAGAATGCTCTGTGATTCACCATGCCGTTGGTTGTATTGCTCAACCATGTAGGAACTTGGACTGCAATTGATGGTGGCGAGAGTAGGCATAAGCTTGCCATTGGACTCCAAACCTGCGAACTAAAACAACAAGAAAAGAAGAGGTGGCCATGTGTTTCTTGCTCCGTTGGACACAAGACGCAGGTCTGATCCACTTGCAATCCCCAGCGGCTAAGGCGATCCTTTGTTGGCAATCTTGATAGCATTATTTCCCAGAGTAGGAAGGAGAATCTTGGTACCGCATGCTTAAACCAAGTGGTTTGGTACCAATCTACTTCGATTGAATGCTCCCTTATCAACTCCCATGTGTTTGCAGCCGAAAATTCCCTCTTAAATTCTCCGGACTTGCGCTTCCAAGTAGCTATATCTGGTCCCCGATCTGCGGTAGGTGTCTGCACTGTCGTCAGACGAATAAGAATTTATTCAAGCGCATCAGACCGCGCTCCTGGGACTGACCAGTGTCCACTTCGGCATGCCTCAAGTATCATGCCAGAACATAGTGTATGTTCCATCCCCGATCTCCATGCGCAAAATGATTTGACTTCTTGTCGGATTGAGAGTAGCTTTCTGAGATTCCATGATAGCCGATTTGACACGGTTGTTGTCCAATAGCACTTCTTTCTCCATACGTTCTGCTTCAGCCATCTAGCCCATAAAGAGCCTTTGTCACTTAGTGTTCTCCATACGAGCTTTAGCCGGTGGACCATGTTCAGATCCTTTAGAGTTCTGATGTCAAGTCCTCCTTCTTTCTTTGGCCTGCAAATCGTCTCCCAAGCGACCCTCGAGGATGATCTACGAGCAGAATGTGAAGAACTCGCCCAAAACAAAGTCGTGCAGAGGCTCTTGATAGCCGTAAGTACTGACTTGGGGAGAAGGAATGTGGCACTCCAATTTGCAACCTGTCCATAAATAACAGATTTGATTAGTAGTAATTTGCCCGCCGTTGAGAGGAACATAGTGGTCCATGATTGTAGTTTCGCCTTAATCCTTTCAAGCAGTGGCTGGAAGTCTTGCTTTGTTGGCTTGCATGGGCTGAGGGGCACCCCTAGATAGCGTACCGGGAAGGTGTCGTGCCTGTAACCCAATATGGGTAGGAGTGGGGAAACTTCAGCCTCCGTTAATCCACTGAAAAACACTTCCGACTTAGCCTCATTTACCTCCAGACCTGATATATGCCCAAACTCATTCAATATTCGTTTGATCTCAGCCAGAGAGCCAGGGTCAGCTTTGGAGAATATAATCACGTCGTCCGCGAAAGCCAGATGAGTGACTCTCGGTCGTCCACACTTGGAGTGCGACTTTAGTGTTCCTTCGGAGGATGCTCTGTCAAGCAACTTTGAGAGGACTTCGATAGCTAGGATGAAGAGGTATGGAGATAAAGGGTCTCCCTGTCTGAGACCTCGTTGGCTTTCGAAGAAGCCTGCCAACTCTCCATTGATTGAGACCGAGAACCGGGGTGTGGTGATGCATGCCTTAATCAAACTAATGAACGCCAATGATATGCCAAGCGCCTCAAGTATTCTCAGGATAAATACCCGATTTACGGTGTTGAATGCCTTTCTGATATCAATTTTAATCGCTGCTCCTTTTGGCCCAGAATTTCGGTTGTAGTTCCGCACTAGCTCAGTTGCCAGTATGATATTATCAATCATGACCCTCTTCTTCATAAAAGCTGCTTGATTCGGCGATATTGCATGTTGTATCAGTGGTTTTAACCTTTTAGCCAAGATAGAAGAGATGAGCTTGTAGACAAGGTTGCAACAGTTAATCGGTCGGAATTCGGTTAGTGAAACCGCTCCCGGATGTTTCGGTATCAAGGCGATTGTGGTAGCATTAATTTGACCCAATAACTGGCGGCTTCGGAAAAATTCCTGAACTGCTGCTACTAGATCAGCTCCCACGATTTCCCATGAACTAACGAAAAATTCTTTAGTGTAGCCATCCGGACCCGGCGCTTTATTATTTGGCATTGCTAGAAGTGTCTCCTTTATTATTTCCTGCAAAGGAATTTTCAAGAGACTAGCCATTAAAGATGAGTCAAGTGACATACCAAGGATGTCTCTTAATGCCTCTGCCGACGGTGTGCTCAAGTCACCAGTCCCCCGAGCAATGTTGAAAAGTACGATACAACATGCCTTTTCATGTCCCTCCATTACAAGAAAATTCTCGTATAGCTACGGAACTTGCGACGGAAAATTCCGTCGCATACAAAATTACGACGGAATACGACGGTTTAGCGACGGAATGCGGAAAAAAAATTTACGTCTCAAAGAGTCGTAAAATCCGTCGAAAATTTACGACGGAATGCAACGGAGACGTTGTCGTCGCAATAACAAACATTATTTGCGACGGAAATTTCCGTAGCAAATGCTAATTTTAATTATTTTTAATTTAATTTATTTATTTTTCAGAATTAGCTACGGATTTGCGACGGAAATTTTCGTCGCAAATACTAATTTCATTTATTTCGTTATTTTCGATGAAAATTTTCAAATTTTCGCAGTTTTTATTTCGTTTTGCGACGGATGGCGACGGTAATTTCCGTCGCAAATACTAATTTCATTTATTTCGTTATTTTCGATGAAAATTTTCAAATTTTCGCGGTTTTTATTTCGTTTTGCGACGGATGGCGACGGTAATTTCCGTCGCAACACGAAATAAAAGCACCGACTTCGTCTTCTTTCTTCAGACTTTGAAGTTTCCAAAAAAAAAATCTTAATCTTCTCCAATTTTTTTCCAACGTTGTCTTCCTCCAAGATATCTCCAAGATATATCAAGGTATGTATATATGTATATATGAGTATATATGGATTATATATATATATTTTGTGTGTGTATATATGTGTATGTATATTTTGTGTGTATGTATGTTTATGTGTTGTTAATGTGTGTGTATTGTATGTATGTATGTATGTATGTATGTATGTATGTATGTATGTATGTATGTATGTATGTATGTATGTATGTATGTATGTATGTATGTATGTATGTATGTTTGTGTGTGAATGTGTATATATATGTGTGAATGTATATGTGTGTGTTTATATATGTGTGTAAGTGAATGTGTATATATGTGTGAATGTGTATGTGTGTGTTTATGTATGTGTATGTGTATATATGTGAATGTGAATATGTATGTGTATGTATATGTGATTGTATGTGTATATGAATATATGTGTATATGTGTGTGTTTATGTGTATGTGTATGTGTTTGTGAAATGTATATATGTATGAGTATTTATGTATGTGTATATGTGTATATGTGTGAATGTGTATGTGTGTTTGTGTATATATATGAGTATGTGTATATGAAAATATATGTGTATATATATGTATGTATGTGTATATATATTTGTATGTGTGTAATGTTTGTGCATGAATGTATGTGTATATAGGTGTATGTCTATGTGAAAATGTATATATGTATATGTATATATAGTATATAATTTTTTTATATTTTTTTTTAAAAAATTTTAAAACATTTGCGACGGAATGCGACAGAAAAAATTCCGTCGCAATTTGCGACAGAATTATCCGTCACTTTCCGTCGCAAAACGCAGATTTCTTTTTGCGACGGATTAACGACCGTTATACGTTTGCGACAGCGCTATAGCGACGGAAATAAGTCCGTCGCATTCCGTCACAAATTCTTAATTGCGACGGATTTTCTTTGTATTTGCGACGGATTTTTCCGTCGCTATATAACTGTTTGGTTGGTTGCCTTCCTTGCCTTTGTTACATGAAAGAAGAATTTAGTGTTCTTATCCCCCGATTGCAGCCATCTCACTCTCGATTTCTGCTTGTAAAAGGTTTCCTCCGCTGCCACCAAGTTCAGCCATTTGGTGCGTGTTTGCTTTTCCTCCTCTATTAGGTGACCCGCCGGATTCGCTAGCATTTGTGACTGAATGCTTTTGAGCTTATCCCCAATCGCTTGTACTCGCGAACTAATCCCACTGAACTCCTTCGTATTTAGTTGCTGCAAGGGTCATTTTAAGTTCCGTAATGCTCGGCATAGTCTGGACTGTCTTGTACCATCTTCCACTGCCGACATCTAGTTTTCCCGAATTGTATCCAAGTACCTCGGATGTTGCAGTAAGTGATGGGAAAACTTGAATGGTCGTTTCCTCTGCTGTTGCACAATTGGGATGTGGATGGTGCACGGACTGTGATCCGAAGGTCCTGGTTGACCGAAGTCTGTATAAGTATCGGGGAAACTTTGGCGCCAGTTAATATTAGCCAAGGCTCTATCCAGCTTAACTTAGAGAGGTTGTTGCGAGTTTAGATTGCACCAGGTGAATTGTTCCCCTCGGCTGGTAATGTCACTCAACCCTGCAGCATCAATACAATGTTCAAGGTCAGTCATACCTTGGGTTATAGTAGTGGAGCCTGGAAAATCGGATCTGTCAGAAGCTCGGAGTATTTGGTTGAAATCTCCGAGAATGATCCATGGAGTTGTCAACAACTCGGAGTATTTGGTTGAAATCTCCGAGAATGATCCATGGAGTTGTCAACAAGGGTTGGTATTGGGATAGCTCGACTATATGGTTCCATAGAGGCCTTCGGTCTTGTACCGAGTTCCTGGCATATATAAATGTGACTGTAAAACTTGGCTCCCCACTTGTGCCACTAATTCCGCAGGTAACAGACTGATCCGTACTTGAGTAGGCATGAACCATCAAAGAGGGATTCCAAACAACCCAAACTCTTCCACCATTGTCTTGTGCGTGCATTCATAATTTTTTTGTTTATACATTAATATCCGAACCCGAATATTTCAGACAGTATATATACGAGTACGGATATTAAATTCTCATATCCAAAATTTTCATTGGATCCGTAATCAACCTCAAATATATATTTAAAGTCTCCCTTTTTTATTTATTAGAGGAAAAGTTTACAAAGTGCCAACGGAAGAGGGAGGCACATACATTTTTCTACGGAGCGGAGTACGACCAAAGTCTATATCACATGTTTGAAAACAGAACTCAACTTTATTAAAATTTGCCTGAAGGCCTCCGATCCTTAAGCTTGGATCAAGTCCTCGACTATCTCCTCCATCATCATCATCTGCTGCGGCTGCTGTCTGCCGCCGGCGTGAGTGAGAGTGGTCTCGGGAGTGTTGAACTTGATCTGCCAAGCCTCTTGCTGAGATATCTGGTACGCGTTCATTATGACCTCTAACGGCAATGCCCTCAGAGCCGATGTCCGACCAGCCAAAGTGTTAACCATGGCATTGTCGTTGGTCTTTAGTGATATCCATTCGAACTTGTTTCCCTGCGCTCTCATCACCACTGCGTAGCCTTGCGGTATCACCACTAGCTGCCCCTTCTGCAGCTGCTTGTCGAGCACGTTCTTCCCGTTGTCGTTCACCACCTGTATCCTCGCTTGCCCACCCGTGCAGTACAGGATCTCGTTCGCGTTCATCGTCCATTTCGGCAACACCATTGCGTTCTGCATGTTCGAAATATATCAGATTTACATGCATTATATATGATTGTTGGATGCACAATGTATAGACTTACGCCGTTGATGTGACCCCGAGTGGCGCTGAGTCGGACGTATTGCAAGATGGGCAGGGTGTAGCTGTTGACGGTGGTCACACGGCCGAGCTGGGGCTTGTACACATCAGCACGAGCTGGGTCGTCGATGCTCTCGTGGAACCTCATGCTGCAAAAGGTCTCCTCCAGGCCGTTCTGGCCGCGTGGTTGTCTCCATTCCTCGCTCTCGTACTCCTGTCTGAGAGGCGGCCTAACCACCTGGAAGGGTCCCTTGACATGTACGATGTTACCACGGTTATCTTGCTGGTTTTGAAGTTGTTGCGCTGTCTGGAGGCTGATCTTGTAGGAATCTGCCAAGATTTGTGGGTCGAAACCACTAAATATGTTCTGTTCTTGTTGCATGCCACGACCACCTCCAACACCTCGGCTTCCTTTCGGGTTGGTGCCCGCCAGACGGAAAGCCTAATCCATCAACACATAGATAGGTATTGATCAGTTGAGAAGAAGTGTATATATATGCAAATGGATGGTACGAAAGTGTGGTATTAGCGTACACGAGGGTTGCGATCGAGTTGGTTATGTTGGTTGGCGATGTCGATGAGGGAGATGGTGACGAGAGGCTGGTCGCCGGAGTTGTAGCACCAGTGGGCGGTGCCGGAAGGCCAAGCGAAGACATCGCCGTGGCGGACATGTTCCACCTTCTGGTGCATGTCCCTGAACTTCTGCTGTCCTTGTTCCCCTCCCAACCCTTGAGAGTCCATGTACGTCTCTGCGCATCCCGGTATCACTCTTCCCGCTAGTCCCCTACCTGCAACATTCCAAGACATGATGATTAATATATATATATAAAGTAGATATAAAACAAGTATGGAAGACGTTAAATGGACCTTGGACGACGTAGGTGATCTGAGGGGCGTTGTGGAAGGTAGGGAGGTAGAGGCCACCGGGTTGGATGACGCGTCGGACGACGGAGACACCGGCGCAACGGAGTTGAGGGTGGGTGTGGTCCCAGTACTCTATCCGACCGGCCTCGCATGGGATGGTGTCGGTGGGTTCGAGGGCGTCGAGGTTGTCGAGCTCGCACTCGTTCCTCATCTGAGGAGGCACCCCTAGCTCCTGCCTCGCCTCGCACACCACCACCGCTACTACGGCAAACACCACGGCTATAACCAGCTTATTCGCCATTTTTGTTATTTACTACGGATGAGATGTGGGGACTTGATCGCGGCCATGCTTATATTAAGGGCCTTGTGGGGGGGGGGGGGGTGGGTGGTCGATGGGCTTTGCATGCCGCACTTGCTGTCTTCTTCCGACACATAACACCATGGGTTTCAGCATGTGTCTAGATCTCGTGTGCAGAACGCGACAAACCCCTAATGCATCGCAATTTCGATTTTAATCAGATGTTTGTATATATTTCGAAAGGTGTTAATATTATAATACATAATTGAAGAGAGCTAAACTAATGGTGATTTTATGAATATGACCTCCCCTGTGTGTGTTGTGAGTCACCTAAATTAATCGCGACTCAATTTAAATTTGGTGTAACTTAAGATTAAATAAACTTTATTGCTGGGATGGCGATGTAGCCAACATAAGAGACAAAAATAAAACGACAAATACGGTGAGTGGCGAACCAACAAGAAAATAGTGTGAAGCGGCGAGTCGACGACAACTGTGCGGTTGCATGCTTAGCTGCCGCCACGGCATTATCGGCTCTTCGGATTATGGGCTTTCTAAAAGCCCATATGCGTTGATGGGCCAAAACGATAGCCCATTAGCTGATGGACCAGGCTGAGTTGTATCATGCAATTCTTCAATCAGACTAATGATGGGAATGGGCTTGATCCGAGAAATTACATATCCATGTCGGCCCAAATGTTTCTGCAAAACGAAAAAGATGTGCTTTACCGTCCCCTCAACATTTCCAACAGTTTCGTCTCCTTAAACCCTAACCCCTCCTCCCCTCTTGTTCCTCCTCTCCCTCTCGAGACATTCCCAGAAAGCTTCAGGTACGATTCTCACCATTTCTCCGAAGTCCACTTCGTTCTCCTTGGTTCCCAGTACATTTCCTTTGATGAGTTGACTTACGGAAGCATTTGCTTGATTTCGGATCTAAGTTTTTCCCATTTTGTACTCCGGTTATAAGGCCTTGGAAAAGTTCTTCCGCTAACTTGCAGATCACTCGTTGTTCTTGCATTGGTAGTCCCATATTTCCTCTTTAATCTACGGTTCTCTCGGCAACCAAGCAGGGTTTTCGTTTCATTTCGTTTCTGATTCTGTTATTTGGTGCTTCGGGTGTGTTTCATACCTACTACGATTGAGTCGATTTTGTGGATTCGGTTCTAGGGTGCAATTCTGATATTTGTTTTTAGCTTTTTGCGTGTTTAGGGAAGATGAATTTCAACAACGTTAAAGTTCCGAATGTGCCTGGTGGAGGAGCCGTCTCTGCGCTTCTAAAGGTCGGAGTTATCGGTGGACTCGGCCTTTACGCAGTGACCCACAGTCTCTACAATGTCGACGGAGGACACAGAGCCGTCATGTTCAATCGTATAGTTGGTATCAAAGACAAGGTTAGTCTGTACTAAAAAGACTTGAAACGCTTGTCCCATAGAGCTGTGAGTTTCTGCGAGCATTTTCAAAGCTAACTGTCTGTTTGTGATATTGGATGAATTCTCGAGTTGGTTTCTTAGTCATGTTTTATCATGTTTCTGGGATCTCGTCATCCCTTTGCATCTATCCATCCATTTTCTATACTTGACGGTGTTCTTAGGCACAGTAATTACAGTCTATTCGTTTCATTCGTTTTCTATTACTTTACAGCGTTCTTAGGCGTCGTAATAGTAATATGATCTCATGTTAACTCTTACATCACGTAGGTCTATCCCGAGGGTACCCACCTTATGCTTCCGTGGTTCGAAAGACCCATCATCTATGATGTTCGTGCACGACCCTACCTCGTTGAGAGCACATCCGGAAGCCGTGATCTTCAGATGGTACTATGGCTTCATCTCGTTCATCTGGAACTATTTCTATGTCGCTATCTGATGAGTTCTGGGAATGCCCCCGAGTCTTTTCTTTCGACATGCATACAGAGTTTTTGTCCTCCTGTTGTATAAGAGACCGCTAATGTCTCGGGTTGCTTTGTGCACTTTTGTTTTATGGTTTGAAACATGCAGGTGAAAATTGGACTTCGAGTTCTCACGCGTCCCATGGCTGACCAGTTGCCCCAAATCTACAGAACCCTCGGTGAAAATTACAGTGAGAGAGTTCTGCCTTCTATAATAAACGAGACTTTGAAGGCTGTGGTTGCGCAGTACAATGCGAGCCAGCTTATAACTCAAAGAGAGGTAGCTGTCTGCAGATGTCTGTTACTGTTCTCTTTGGAGGAACTGAGATTATGGGCTTACAGTAGCAACTTTTGGCTCTTTTTAGAATGTGAGTAGGGAAATTCGAAAGATTCTGACAGAAAGAGCGGCAAACTTCAACATTGCGCTGGATGATGTGTCAATCACGAGCTTGACGTTCGGGAAGGAGTTCACAGCTGCGATTGAAGCAAAGCAGGTGGCTGCTCAAGAGGCCGAGCGTGCTAAGTTCATCGTGGAAAAGGCTGAACAGGACAAGAAAAGTGCTGTTATCCGTGCTCAGGTGAGAAAAAATCTATTTTTTTTTTTGTCAATTAAATGAAAATGCAAATGGCTGATGAACGTGACTGTGTGGGATGTGTAGGGAGAAGCCAAGAGTGCTCAGCTCATCGGCCAAGCAATAGCCAACAACCCGGCATTCATCACACTGAGGAAGATCGAAGCGGCGAGAGAAATTGCGCAGACAATAGCAAGCTCGGCCAACAAGGTCTACTTAAGCTCGGACGACCTCTTGCTGAACCTCCAGGAGATGAACCTTGAGCCCAATACTAAGAAGTAGTTGCGGACGCTGCTTTTGCCGGTGTTTCTCAGATTCTCGGATCGGATCCCTGGACAGTGCGACAATAAAATTGTTTAAATTGATCCTTCATGCACCCCTTTGGCTTTCAGCACAAAAGATGTTCAAATTTATGGCTTTTTCTGGAATTTCGGTCCCTGTTTTCAGGTCTTTTTGTTTGAATGGAGAACATTCATATTCTGTGGAGCATCGGGTAGTATATAAGCCTTTGATGGCCAATGTTCCATCAGCCCACTGCATGCCCAAAGAGCCCATTAATTTTTAGAAAATAATTGAAAGATATTTTCTCCCAAAGATGAATATATTATGACAAGGGAAGTCTTTGTACATTTTTTTTCCCTCTCCATTCCAAAATAGTACACATTGTACAAAAAATATAATATACAAAAAAGAAGAGAAAAATAGAGAAATGAATGTACTTATGTAATATAAATACTATGAGTTTCCTTAAATCATGTTTTTTTTTATAATCCGAAAATTTACCAAATTTTTAGTCTAATTATATCTCTTAAAGGAAGGAAAAACTACCGCTTTTTGGAATGGAGATTTGAATCAGGAGTTTTGAATTATCCTTTACCTTGAATCACCGATTTGGGTGTGCCCTCTTATTTCATCACATGCATACACTTTATATGGCTCTTGTAGTAGTGTTAGTGATGATAAAAAATAGTGTGCATGTATTTGCAATTTATTTTCCGGTTCCCAGAATATTCATATATATTTCACCTTAATTTGTAGCGTGTGAAAGGGCCTTCTCTTCGTTTTGCCTAAAATCTCGTAATTAAGGAAATAACCGCCGGGCCACCGCCCGTTGTGGTGATGGTAATGGTCCTTAACGGCGCACTGGCGGGGCTGAGTCTGGAAGAAGACTTTGGAGACGAGGAGTTGGCCTTCTTTCTCTTCCTCGTTGCTGCCGAGGTGGTAACCCAATTGGACTTCTCGGGCTTCTTTTGTTTGGCGTAGTTTGGTGTAGAGTACGATCGAGGATCTTCTTGTAGCCTCTGACTCTGCCGCCGACAAGGACAGGCCGTGTCTTTCCGGTCTTGTGCCACCATGTCTCCCCTCCTACGTCGGAATCCGTGTGGATCTCCCTGCCGTGTATCCTTCGACGGCCTGTGGAAGAAATGCCTCACCGTCCCGTCCTTTTTCACTCCTATCAAAATATGTTCAATATAATTATATATGTGTTTGTTCATGTGTGTCAGTGTGAATATATATATATATATATATGAGAAAAGAGACAAATAATTGGAACTTCTAACATCCTTTTCGTTTAACAAATATAGATTTTAACAATCATATATAATTAAACAAAGAGATTGCTTGGATCTTTGTTCCAAGCATATATGTATATGTATATATGTATCATTGTTCCAAGCATCAGAAGCTTTGCGCAATGATAATATATGCGCGCGCGCGCGTGTGCGTGACATGGATACATCTCAAGGCGTGTTTTTGCTTAACTGCGTGTTGTTTTCTTGGATGGGAAACGGCAAGAAGTTGGTACAACGTCTTCAAGCAAACCGACCGATCAGATATTTTGGTCAGTTCAATAAGACATGGACCTCCGTTTATAATCGTATATCCAAAATCTATTTACAGGCCCAAAACATTATTGGGTCTTTTTCTCAAACGACATTGTTCCAATTTCATTTTTACTTCAAATAATTATTTAAACATAATGAAAAATAGATTTTTATGCACATTAATTAGTGAACTCCCAACGATCCAATGAACATTTCTTGAAATGTCTACCAACTCCCGACGAGCGAATTCTAGATTTTTCTTCTCGTTTAGGTTTTGAATATTTTCCGCAGGGGAAAGGAAAACGTACGGCGAAATAAAGGGGACACGGAAAGGAGTGATCAGTAATTAGTGACGGTTTAAACCACAATTAATGATTAATATTGGGGTTATTTTTTTCTAATTAAATAAACAAAACGGACACGTGGCCATCACATGAAATGCCAATCTCGTATATTTAGACTAACGGAAGAACTGAAACATGAATGAATTAAAATTGAAATTGAAACAGGCATAACCTCAAAAAGGTTTCCGCCATGAAACCTCAACGACAACTAAACGAACACGGAGAACACCAAAATGAAACCGAAACTCGTACATGTATATAATCAATGTCCGAATCATCCAAGTGAAAAACATCAAAGAAGAGACAAAACAAGGATCCATAGAAGTTCAGAAGAAGATCGGAGATGGAGAGCACACAGCGTTTGATAGAGATGTTGCCTTTGGCGCCAAGAAAGCCAAAGTCGAAGGCACAGAAGGTGGTGAGGAAGACATTCAAAGGGACCACTCAATTGTCCAAGCTCTTGCCCACGGGTTCGGTCCTGACGTTCCAGATATTGTGTCCGGTCCTGACCCATCAGGGCCAGTGTCCCACCCAGGCTAGCCGTAGCCTCACCCTCTTCCTCGTCTTCCTCTGCGCCTTCTCCTGCTTCCTTCTCTCCTTCACCGACTCATGCCGGGACCAGTTTGGGAAGGTGAGGTACGGCCTGGCCACGGCCACAGGGCTGTGGGTGATGGACGGGTCGGTGGAGCTGGCTGGAGCGGAGGCAGAGAAGTACAGGCTGAGGTTCCTGGATTTTGCCCACGCCACCATGTCGATGTTGGTGTTCGGAGCGGTGACGATGTTCGACAAGAACGTGGTGAGATGTTTATTCCCGGTGCCGTCAGAGGAGGTGAAGGAGCTGCTGATGCGTCTGCCGATTATGGTTGGTTTCATCTGTGTTGCCTTCTTCCTCGTCTTCCCCACACGCCGCCATGGCATCGGCTCTCCTCTCTCTAAGGAATGATTAGCTTTTCCATTTTCCCGTCTCTTAGACAGTCCCTGCATTTTTTTGTAAATGCCCAAGATGAAAAGATCATCGATGTAGTTCTTTCACATGAACGAACCATTGGCTCTTTATGACAGCTGTTTGCACAGAAATGAATGTCTTAGACCAGACAAAAAAAGTCTTACATAAATCGTACACTCCAATAGACCAAAAGAACGGACCACCCGTCTCTTTTGCTCTTATGTATGCTATAGAGCACACCACGAAAGCCCGACCCTTTCTTCCATCTTTTTTCTTCTGTTCAACGTTCGCCAAGAAGAAGATGATCCAGAAGCTTCTTGATTCTCGCCTTCTGCTCGGCCGTCAATCTCGCCGGGAATTTGGTGATGAAGTTGATTATCAAGTTCCCTTTCTTAGTGGGATCTTTCTGCAGAGGCATCCCTTCCCTTGGTACCACCTCCTCGTAGTCAGGGTGGATCACATTGTTGATCGGGATGGTCAGCCTCCTACCGTCTAAGGTCGGAAGATTCACTGTGCAGCCAGTCAGGGCCTCTGTCAGGGAGACCTTTTGGGTGACGATCAGGTCATTGCCATCATGGGTGAACACGGAATGGGGCTTCTCATCTATGACCAAGACAAGGTCAGCCGGGATCATGAAAGGCTGCTCGTTTCCTTTCTCTGAGAATGTGATCTTTGTGCCCTTTTACCCACCCGGGTTTCACGTCTGTCGTCAGAATTTCTTCCACCTGCATCGTTTTACTGCACAAAAGAACGCATGCTTAAGACTGCCCATAGCGTTCATGACACAATTTCAGACACTAGGCTACCAAAATGGAAGCATCTACATATATGAAACACCCTACTAATGTTGGAACTAAAAGAAGCTTCAATCCTGTGATATGGTGATAGATTGTAACTATCAACTCAGTTGAGAATTACAACTGTTACCCAGAGGTTACTCTCCCTCTTTCTCCTCTTACAAAGATTCTTGATCAAGCATAAACCTCCCAAAATCTAAAATACGCTACTTAAAGGCCAAGTTCTGCTCACAGATGCTGACATGGCACTGTTAATTACACTGGCAGGAAACACAAAACATGGACATGAAAAAGTAATAACAGACCTATTAAGTAGTCATTCTCTGACAGCCTTGATCCTCACTGCCCGACAATGTTTCCTTCCTCCTCGTTACCCTTCTGTTTCAGAGTTCCAGAAACACCATGGTTGTCTTCTACCCTTTCCTTCCTGTTCTTCTTGAAGTAGACCTGATAGTAAGGTTTATCATATGGATTCTGTCAATAGGAAGGGAAAGACAGAAGGCAAAGCTCATGGTTTGAGAGCACTTAACCCGCTGAAACTGGTGATCTTCAAGGCTACAGGGCAACTTGTTCTCGACGGAGCAGCCTTGCTGGCTCCACCCTGATGATGCATCGGCCCACCACCTCCAAAGTAGTCAGCGAAAATATTATCACCTGGAGACTTGCTGCTGGAGGATCTCGATCCTCCACCAAATGGGCTCCAGGACCCAAAGAACTCTGCGAAAATATCGTCAGCACTTCTTGGGTTGAACCGGGCCTCTCCGTATTGATCGTATATTGCTCTCTTCTGAGGATCCCTAAGCACCTGAACACATTTCCACAACCAATAAGACGAATAAATCCTCCTACAGTTGCAACAAAGCACGAACATGTTTCAGATGTCACACCAGACCAAACCAAAGGCTTACGAGTAACCAAGATACAGGGACATAAGCGACTATTGAATCCAGTTCACCGCTAATCGGGACAAAATATAGCAAGAAGAATTGCTAGCGAAAGAAGAAGCACGCAATCATTCAAAAGATAATCTCAACAAAGCCATCATCTTTCGCTCGGACTATGTATGCTTGAATTACACGAAATCACTAAACCCACAAAAAGCATAATTAAGATCAGATTCGCAAACAAAAAAACCAATTGGGCATAAAAACAAAAAAGGAAAAAGCTGTCAGTTTTATCTCCCCCAATACCAGAAGACATGTTCCGGGCAACAATCAAGCCAGAGAAGAGGAAGATCACGAGGAGATGAGAAACAAAAAGGAGAGAAATTCCCGGGACGGGACATGGTGGCAAACGAAAATGGAAACCTCGTAAGCTTGGGAGATCTGCTTGAGCTTGGATTCAGCCTCCTTTTTGTTGGTAGGGTTGTTGTCGGGTTGCCATTTCATGGCGTGTTTTCTGTAAGCTTTGTTGAGGTCATCATCCTTGGCGCTGCGATCGACCTGAAGGACCTTATAGTAATCCGCTCCCTTCCGCTACTCTCTTTGTTCCTCTCCCACTGACTGGGTTTTGACCTGAATCCCACGCAGGTTTGCTTTCCTCTTAAAATGGTAGTAATATTTTTTAGAATTAAAATATGAATGTTGTTGCCGAGTATCTAAGCGAGTTTCGATATTTGGATTTGTACCAAAGAAAAAGGTATTAAAACATCGTATCCAAATTCGTATCCGTAGGTTTTGGATTACTAGTTTAATCTTGAACTTTATGCTAGTTTAATCTTGAGCTCTCTTTATACCAGATTTAATGAATTTTATGACAGCTACTTACACAGACATGAATGTCTCGTATATTATTAGACCAGACCAAAAAGTATTACATAAATCATACATCTTCTGCTCTTCTGTATGCTATAGCACAACACGAAAGTCTGACCCTTTCTTCCATCTTTTTCTCCTGTCCAACGTTCACCAAGAAGAATAAGAAGACAAGGGCACGGGGAAGACGATCACCCTACCCCAGAAGCTTCTTGATTCCGGCCTTCTGATCCACTGTCAATCTTGCCGGGAATTTGATGACAAACTTGATTCTCAAGTTCCCTTTCCTAGCGGGATCTTTCTGCAGAGGCATCCCTTCCTTTGGAACCACCTCCTCGTATTCAGGGTGGATCACATTGTTGATTGGGATGGTCAGCCTCCGTCCGTCCAAGGTCGTGAGATTCACCGTGTAGCCAGCCAGGGCCTCTGTCAGGGCGACCTTTTGGGTGACTACCAAGTCATTTCCATCACGGGTGAACACGGAATGGGGCTTCTCATCTATGACGAAGACAAGGTCAGCCGGGATCACGCCAGGCTGCTCGTTTCCTTTCTCTGGGAATGTGATCTTTGTGCCTTTTTTCCACCCGGGTTTGACGTCTATTGTCAGAATTTCTTCCACCTGCATCGTTTTACTGCACAAAAGAAAGCATGTTCAAAACTAGGCATTGCCCATAGCGTTCAAACCTAAACATGACAGACACTAGGCAACCAAAATGAAAGCATCTACATATGTGGAACATCCTACTAATGTTGAAAGCTTCAATCCTAGTACTTACCCGCTGACATCAGCAATCTCCCGGGAGATCTTCATCTTCTTGGTGGTACCCTTGTATAGATCTTCAAGGCTACAGGGCAACTTGTTCTCGATGGGAGCAGCCTTCCTGGCTCCACCCTGATGATGCATCGACCCACCACCACCTCCTCCAAAGGAAGCAAACATATCATCACCTCCAAACATGCTGGAGAATCTGGATCCTCCTCTTCCACCCCCACCAAATGGGCTTGAGAACCCAAAGAACTCAGCGAAAATATCGTCAGCACTTCTTGGGTTGAACCTGAAGGAGGTGGGGCCGTCCCCTGTCGAGAAGAAGGTGGCTCCCCCTGCATCAGGAGGTGGTACATTCCCCTTCAACCCTTCCTCCCCGTATTGATCGTATATTGCTCTCTTCTGAGGATCGCTGAGCACCTGAACACATTGCCACGACCAATTAGACGGGAAAATCCTCCTACAATTGCAACACAGCACGAACAGGATTCACATGTCACCAGCTTAGCCAGAGCAAAGCAGGGCAAAACACAGGGTTTAAGCAACAACCATTGACTTTTGAAAAGGAAACTCACAACTCGGACAAAATCTGGGGGTAGAGAACCGAAAAAGTATATCAAGAACTAGATTTGCTAGCCAAGGAAGAAGCACGCAATCACAAAACGACAAGATAACAAAGACAAAGCCAAGATCCCCATGACAAATTACAAAAGTTATCTCAACAAAGCCATCATCTTTCGCTCGGAATTTGCTTGAATTACACGAAATCACTAAACCCCTAACAATAATTAAGAACAAATTCGGAAACAAAAAAACCTATTGCGCATAAAAAAAAAAGAAGCTCAGTTTAATCTCCGCCAATACCAGAAGACATGTTCTCAATCCAGAGAAAAAGGAGATCAGGAGGAGATAAAAAACAAAAACAATCCATCTTCAGATCGAATTCAATCAATATAATAGAAAAAAAAAAAGGAGAGAAAATCTGGGACAGGACATGATGAATAGAAACCTCGTAAGCTTCGGAGATCTGCTTGAACTTGGATTCAGACTCCTTTTTGTTGGTAGGGTTCTTGTCGGGATGCCACTTCATGGCGAGTTTTCTGTAAGCTTTCTTGAGGTCATCGTCCTTGGCGCTGCGATCAACCTGAAGGACCTTGTAGTAATCCACTCCCATCCCTCCCTCCGCTTCTCTCTTTCGCTTCTTCAGTTTCGCCTAATCTCAGAGATCCCAAAGCTGCTCGATGTTCACTTGGAGGAGGAGAGAGTTCGGTCTTAAGACCGACGCATGTTTCCTCTCAGCGCCTGGAGAATTCCGTCGAAGGTTCCAGAAGTCGCTCTTTTATTTGAATGACGTCTGTTTTCGGATTTTTCTCCTCTTAAAATAGCAATATTTATATTTTATTTAGTATCGAAATTTGAGAGCAAACATATTATCATTATTATTGGAAAAAGCAACTGCAATTTTCGTCCATTGGGCCCAAATCGTAGGCCCATGTTCTAGTTTTCAATGTCCAACCTTGTTTGATAAAATTACTAGTGAGGGCCTTCCTAAATATATTTGTACTGTTTGTTTCGTCATATTAATCATATAATGAATTGGAAAAACAATGGTAACGAGGCTTGCCGAGGTGATTGATTACAAAGCTTTTGGTTCGCGTATTGAATAATCCATAAAAAAAAGTCTATATAGACTCTGTAATTAATGTGATAAACTCTTTTAATTTCTACATTGAAATTTATTTTTAAACGGAACTTTTAAAAAACGTTTAAAGTTTAAATATTTAATTATATTATTTATAAAAAAATTAAAATTTAATATAAGGGTTGGGAAAAATTAATGTGTTTATTGGTTTTCACTAGGAGTGGGCGTTTCGGGAAACGGTTCGGGTTCGGGACGGAATAGATCGGTTCGGTTCTTTCGGTTTTACAAAAATAGATACCAATCGGGTTTTTTTTATTGTATTCGGTTCGGTTTCGGTATCGGTTCGGTTCGGTTCTGGGTTTTATTAAAAAAATGATAGATTTTCTTTAAAAATATTCGGTTTTTCGGGATTTTTAAAGTTTGGTTCGGTTCGGTTTCGGGAAAATTTGGTTCTCTAAAATTGGTACTGTTCAGGAAATAACAGCGGTTTCGAATCGGGAAAAATACCGTTTTAACGATTCGGTTCGGTTCGATTCTAAACGCCCAGCCCTAGTTTTCACTGTGAATATGTTTGTGGTTAACCGTTTTGATTCTCTTTCCCATTATTCTGTAACAGAGTCATAACATACATGTATTTATACTCTTCAAATATACAACCGCCATAACGGCTTACAAAACTGATATTTGTATATATCTAACAGATTTTTCGTTTTTCTCATTTCATGGTTTGCATGAAGTGTAGTGTCAGCCCTCTCTATCAGCCGTGCATTAGGGTTTTCGCGTACGCTGAAGCAGAGGCTGTTCGATCGTTCTGCGTTGGAAGTTCGTATTTTCTGTGAAGTTTTGAGAGCGATCTTGACGGAGATGGCTCCATCCCCCGAACCAAACAGCGTTGGCGGTGGTGCCAAGCGTACGGTGAAGGTTCCTTCAAAGGATCCCAAGAAGAAGGAGGAGGACCTGGTGAGTTTTCTTCGGTTCGTTTTGGCTTTCTTTCCGCAATCTTTTATGGCTACAGAGCCAGCGAAAGCGTTTGGTATCTGGAGAGATCACAAGTAAAGTTATGCCTAGAGTCGTTGGTTTTGTAGCAATTCCCAATCTCATCCGAAATGTTTCATAAGAATTAGGGATTGCTGGTAAGCTGTTCGTTTATCGGGAGAACTTCTGCGAAGCGAGTGAGTGGAATGTTGCCATTAAGCGATTGAGATTGAAGATGATTTCTAGCATCGGTATTGATCTGGAACAGAAAAAAAAATGTTTCTAGCTCGAGCTACTTATCTAATGACTGTGGTTCCGATCAACAGTTTTTGTTCCCTGACTGTGGTTCCGATCAGTTCCTGGCTCGTAGGGCTACTTATCTAATGACTCAATTTGCGTCTATCTTAGTCCGAAGAGGATTTGCAACTAAAGCAGAATGTGGAGCTCTACGTTGAAATGGTTCAGGATCCGAATCCTGAATTGCAGAAGGTTGCTCTTGAGAGCATGAGGTAATTCTTGAACCTCATAATTTTACCTTGAGCTGGTTCAGTTTTGGTTATCTCAAGATACAAGGGCCCGATTCAACTATTTAACTTAAATTTGAGCGTTTCAAGTGCTAACCTATGGACTTGTAGAATTTTGCATTTTAGCTGCTTTTAGTGTATGAGTCATTTGAGCAGTCTCTCCTCTTAGTTCAGCATTAGTGATGTGTTTTAGTTTTTGTTTTATAGACGGGAAATTCGAGCAGCAACGAGCTCGATGACTTCAGTTCCTAAACCACTCAAGTTCCTTCGCCCCCATTATGGAACTTTGAAGGCATTTCATGAAGAAATGGTTGATTCCGATCTGAACATATGTAGTCAGGCAAGTTAAATTCATATTCTGTATTCATATTCCCTGGATATAGTTTAAACATGTCATTTTTTCTTTATTTGCAGAAATGCTTAGCAGATATACTCTCTGTTCTGGCCCTGACCATGTCTGCTGAGGGTGAACGCGTATACTTTTTCTTACAACTGAACGGGTTTCTTCTTATTCCACATGTCCTGCATTGTTTTCTTTGGCATGGATAACAGTTTAGCTGTTCTTGATCGATTTGAAATTTGGTTAAGTCTTGCGGTAGTGAATTTTCTCAGTACATTGCGACTGCTCTCTTTTAATCTTTTACACGTCTCTTTCAGGAAAGCTTAAGATATAGGTTGATGGGATCAGAGGGTGACATTGGCTCATGGGGCCACGCGTATGTCAGAAATTTGTCTGGAGAGATTGCACGAGTGTATATGAAGCGTAAGGTTAGCAATCTACATATCTATTTGGTCTTTGCCAATGTTGCCGTCATAGGATTTTTTTTCTTGTGTTCTCTCCATGTCATGTCAACTTACCTCTGTGTTTCTTCCTGAAGTAATGAAGTTTGATGTACTAATGAGTTATAAAATTGTCTTTTGTTTTACATTGAAAAAGATTGCTGAAATATGGTTATCTGCCCATCTTCCTATGTTTGTCATTTCAGTTGGAAGAAGCCCCTAATGATGATTTAATGGAGCTTGTGCAACAAATAGTTGCTTTTCACATGAAAGTGAGATCCTGATCATGTTATTCTTTTTTTGTTCTTTTGCATCTTGTTTTGTGGAAATCGAAATGAGTGGAAAGGAAGAATTCATGCGGTCAACCCCAAATAAACTTGGGATTAAGGGATGTTGCTGTTGTTGTTGTTGTCGCATCCTGTTTTGTGAAGAACTATGACCAAAATTCTTTTTTTTTTAAACTTTAGAAATGTTTCTTTGTGGACTTAAGTTTCTTCTTTTGTAGCATAATGCAGAAGCTGAAGCTGTTGACCTTTTGATTGATGTTGAGGAATTTGATCTCTTGCTTGAGCATGTAGACAGCACAAATTTCAAGCGAACATGCCTGTACCTCACTAGTGCTGCAAAGTAATTTCTTATTCTGATTCTGAAAATATATGTTGAAACTTGAAGCTGTTCTGGCAATATATCTGTAGTATTGTTGCATATCAGTGATGAGATTTACTTGATTATCTTGTGTAGTCTACATCCATTTAACAACCTATGTCTTTGGGTTTTCAGATATCTCCGTGATCCAGATGACTTCTTGGTTCTAGATATTGCTTACAGGATCTACATGAAGTATGAAGAATACCCAAATGCCTTGCAGATTGCGTTGTTTCTAGATAATATGGAGGTCTGGCCTCCGTTCTTATAGGACGATGATATCCATTTCATTTACGCTTTCTGCTCTATTTCTCGCTGGAAATTACCTTTTATGGTTAAGGACTCCGAATCTATGCGGTGTTTTTATCAACGTCTCGGGTGCTTTGTGGTGCTAATATTTCAGTATGTGAAGCTAGTATTCACCTCGTGTAGAGATTTGCTGAGAAAGAAACAGTTCTGCTACGTGATTGCCCGGCATGTAAGTTGTAATATATTTCCAGCTCACTAATTTCTATTTCCTTTCGTTCGGTTTTAACTTTTTTGTGCTGATTGAACCAGTACTCCTTTCTGTTGTAGTAATTTGCCTGGCTCATTTTTGTTGGTATTCTGTTCCTTAATGACATACTGACAGTTGATAGACATATTAGCTCAGGGATGATGAACCTCGATCTGGTTGTCCCTCTTTTTTTGGCCTAGTGTAATACTGTTTGGCGGGATAAATATGTTGTTCATTAGGCACATCTAGGCCACTTATTTCATGATCTGGCCTTCACTTGTCAACTGCTGCATCCTTATTGCTCAAGAGTGCATTCGGTATGGGGATGTGAATGTGATACTTGCTTATATACTTATGGTTTCTCGTTTTCTCTTGCAGGGTATCATTTTTGAGCTTGACGCTGAGATGGTTGCAGACGACGACGAAAGAGAGGCCCTGCAGGATATTGTTAACAACACAAAATTGAGTGAAGGATATCTAACTCTGGCGCAGGATATTGAGGTTATGGAGGCCAAAACCCCCGAAGATGTATATAAGGTAATTTAGTTTACTGGATAGTCTGTCTATTTCTGGTATATTTGGGTATGGATTATTATGTTTGTCGGTTGTTGACTTGTGCATATGAATTTTTTTAGGCTCATTTGCTTGATAGGAGGGCTAGTATAGGGGCGACTGCTGATTCTGCTAGACAGAATTTGGCCGCAACCTTTGTGAATGCATTTGTAAATGCTGGTTTTGGCCAGGTATTGATTACCGTCTTATGTTCGCTGCAGAAAGACTTTGGTACTTCGGCTGTTCTCTTGATATATTCCTTATTGCAGGACAAATTAATGACAGTACCATCGTATGCAAAATGGATCTCCAAACATAAAGAGCATGGAAAGACCAGTGCTGCTGCTAGTTTGGTATGCTATTTGTTGCTCGATGGATTTTTCATCTGTGTTGAAACTGTGCGAAGAAAGGATGTGTCACTTAACCTCCTTTGTTAATGTTAGGGAATGATTCTGCTGTGGGATGTGGACTCTGGACTTGCTCAAATTGATAAATATTTCTATAGCAATGACAATCACGTCATTGCTGGAGCACTGCTGGGAATTGGCATTGTTAATTGTGGCATCAAGAATGATTGTGATCCTGTTAGTTGATATCTTCATTGAATTGTGGGAGCTCCTGCTCATTCCTCATTGTTGAGCAACCATTTCCCTTTCTCACTTGGTTTTGTTCTCAGGCATTGGCTCTTATTGATGACTACTTAGACAAGGAGGAACCATCTATCCGAATTGGTGCTATCATAGGTCTCGGAATGGCATACGCTGGTTCACAGAATGAACAGGTGAATTACATGTTACCTCATGTCGAAAGTTTGGCTCCAAAGAAATGCCATTTGTTTTATGGATTATGCTTTATTGCATTGTACCGTGTCGAATATGTGATGTGATTTTCAAGATTAATAATTTGTTTGCTGTGTTGGCAGTTAAGAGGCAGATTGTCTCTGATAATGCATGATGCAAAAGCAACTCTTGATGTCATATGTTTTGCTGCACTTTCTTTGGGAATGATATTTGTCGGTTCCTGCAATGATGAAGTTGCTCAATTAATTATATTTGCTTTGACGGATCGAGGTGAGGCAGAATTTGGTGAAGCCGTTACTCGTTTCTTGCCTCTTGGGCTTGGTCTTTTATACCTTGGCAGACAGGTAGACAAAGTGCTAATATGACTGCTCTGAGGACTTTAACAATCGGGAACATCATGTTCGTCTTACTGGGTCGTTATTCATTTACTGATGAATGCTAATCGATTCATATACGTTCCAGAAAAAAGTGAGGGCTACAGCAGAAGATTCAAAGGCATTCAGCGAGAAGATTAGAAAGTATTGTGATATGACACTTCTATCCTGTGCATATGCCGGAACAGGGAACGTGCTTAAGGTATCTAATCATGGCTGTATTATATAGTTCAATCGTAACTTTGTCGTTCAATCGTTTCACTCCATATTCTTGCAGGTCCAAGACCTTCTGGATCAATGTGGAGAGCATCTTGAGAAGAGCGAAATTCACCAGGGGCCAGCTGTGCTTGGACTTGCTATGGTTGCTATGTCTGAAGAAATAGGTCTTGAAATGGAAATCCGTTCTTTGGAGCATGTGCTGCAGTATGGAGAACAGAACATTCGTCGTGCTGTGCCTTTGGCTCTCGGTCTCCTGTGTATATCAAACCCCAAGGTAAGTTTTTGCCGCATCTTGTTTTATGTCGCGAGGTTAGGTGTGTTACTGGTGACGGTGTGGTTGGGAAGAGCAGTGCAGGTTGTTTGATCTTTTTTCATTATTCCAGGTGAATGTGATGGGCACGTTGAGCCGCCTTAGCCATGACACGGATTCGGAAGTTGCCATGGTGAGATTTTCATTTTATTTTGCAGTCTCCCTAGTATACTGAATAAGCTGATTTTTTTTTCCTTTTAAAATCTGAATTCAATTATACAGGCCGCAGTCATTTCCCTGGGATTGATTGGTGCTGGAACTAACAATGGACGGATAGCTGGCATGCTTCGGAACCTGTCCAGCTATTATTACAAGGATCCCAGCCTTCTCTTCTGCGTAATCTTTCTCTGGAAGCACTTTTTTTTTTCTCCTGAAATAACACATTTTCTCTTCTGAGTACTCATTTTAGCGAGCCGTTTTGCAGGTGCGTATTGCTCAAGGTCTGGTGTATATGGGAAAGGGGCTTTTGACTCTTAGCCCCTTCCACTCTGAACGTTTCTTGCTGTCACCGTAAGTTGAATAATTTGTTTTGCATTATGATGCGTTTGTATCAAACTGATCGCTGACTTCAAAAATTTTAGCAAACGAATCCTTACTCTGATTATTATACTCCCCGCTCAGAACCGCACTTGCTGGTATTGTTACATTCTTGCATGCGTGCTTGGACATAAAATCCATCATACTCGGGAAATACCACTATGTGCTGTACTTCCTTGTTTTGGCAATGCGGGTGAGTTAAAATTCAATCCAGGGCCACCACCAAAGCAATTAAATCCGTATTCTATCTTCTCTGTGTCTAATGTTAATTTGTTTTATCACCACTTTTTATGTGTAGCCGAGGATGATGATGACTGTGGACGAGGACCTCAAGCCCATCTCAGTTCCGGTCCGTGTTGGACAAGCTGTGGATGTGGTTGGTCAGGCAGGTCGACCAAAGACCATAACTGGTTTCCAGACACACTCGACGCCAGTTCTCCTGGCTGCAGGCGAGAGAGCCGAACTGGCAACGGAGAAGTATGGTCTTATTCCTCGTTTTATGTATTTTCATTCGTCCGAGTGTTTTTATTGTAGTAACGCGCGTCGTGGGATGGAACACAGGTATATTCCACTGTCGCCTATATTAGAAGGGTTCATCATTTTGAAGGAGAATCCAGACTACAGGGAGGAGAGAGAGAGAGGCGATACACACATGGGTTAGAGAAGAGATTGTAGGGGAGGAAGGAAGGGAGTGAGTTTTGAAAGAGAAGTTCTTGGCCTGAATATTTCATGATGTTTCCCAAGTTAAAAACTGGAGAAAGCACAAAAGGAGAAGGGAGAGTGACGAATGAGAGAGGCATAGGCTTTTGTTTTCATGTTGATAGATATTAGAGAAGGCAATAAGAAGATTCGTTTCAGGTTATCCATGTCGGTTATATCTCCTTCAGTTTCTTTGATCGGATGAGCTGATATTGGTCCTCACCGCCTGAATACTTCAACAGAACCTCACTGAGACTGAGGCCAAGATTGAGTCAGTCAGTCGCTTTAGAAACATGAGGGAGCGAGGCCGAGGTCAGGTGCGTCGGAGACCTCAGACACCTGACTCACACGCCCACCAAAGCGAGAATGCTACAAAGAGCTCGTCCTTCATGCATTCATCGTCCAGAAAATTCATACAATCTCCATCTACATCAGGACTTCACACGGCAGAATTACCAGAAAAAAATACCCTTATGGTTAACTTGAGAAAAGAGGAGACTCGTTTATCTTTCAGAATCACTAGAGAAGATCCTAATCATCCATAAAAAACAAAAACTAGAAATCAGTGATCACCCACGTTAACCAATTCATATTCGATAAGCGAAAGATTGTTATCCTCTTTGACTGCAAAAGAAGCAGGTTCAGTGACTTCAATACGCCCCCATTTATCAACAGAAAGCCTCATTGTGCTCTTGAACATATCTATCTTGGAATTGCGCAGTATGACAGTAGATCCTGGCTTCATAACATCAACTGGTCCACAAAAGAAAAAACAGAGAGTTACCATGTTACTCCATAACCGCGAAACTTGACCTGTAACTATCTCGCTAGTATTTACTATGACGAGGCCAAACACATTGGGAAACTTGGGTAAATCCACGGTCAATATGTAACAAAATGTTTGCTAACTGAAAAGGCACACCTTTCTGGGCATTCCACAGTTCTGAATTCCTAGCATTCAATAAAATCTGAAGTCCACATTTTTAACATGAAACCAATCAAGAAACTGGAACGAAGTACTGCCCTTTAACATTTTTTTTATAGCCGTATAATGCTTTGACAAGATGATTGTATTTTATAATAATCCCTGGAAGTCCCGTGGGTGGTCAAATACATGTCTTTTCTTATCCCCAAAAAGAAACATACAAGTTGACGAATACAACTGCAAAGATCGGGAGAACATGTGACCTGGGAACAGATCAATTGATGAAACACTATGGCTACGTTTTTTTTCCGGTAATAGAAACACAATGGATAATTAGTTCTCATTAGAACTATCAGTCAAAACCCTAGGATATATCCTGACAAAGATCTATATAAATGTAAAAGTCAGGTACCTTGATCGTTACGAGCAGTGAAGAGAATACAGCCGGTCTCGTCGCCGACGAGACACTCAGCGATTCGACTCGGGTGAGATGGTTGAGTAAGAGAAGCCGCAGACCGGGCCTTCCGGTTGGTTGGGACGATAGTTTTGACCTCAACGACATTAACGGTCAACGTGTGACCGCTCGTCCCCGGCTTCAACTGTTCCACTTTCACGAACACAGGCTTTCGCTTAGCAGTCGCCGTTCCCGATGAAACTGCGGCAGTGGCCATGGCTACGATCGCACCAAAAGACGTAGAAAAGAGGAACCGATGAAATTGTATGCTGCTGGGTGATGGGAAGAGGGCGGATTAGGGTTTATAAATTGTTTGCTAGACGGCGATTGGTATTTCGAGGATTGCCACGTGGTTGTTCCTAAGTGGACTGTGACAAGACTTTTGTTTTCCGAATTAGAATATGTTTAGTTAAACAAAAAAAATGAAAAATATAAATGCGCATTTTAGGCAAAGAAAAATAAAAATGCGTTTTCATAAGGTTATTATTCTTTGGTATTAAAATAATTAGACAGGAGGAACAACAGTATACAGAGAGAGAGAGAGAGAGAGAGAGAGAGAGAGAGGTGATTTTATTTTTTTGTGTGTGAAAGCACAAGCGCCAAGGCTTGCTCCTCCTCTGGCTCCACAGCTTCCTCTTCTTCCTCAGGATGTAGATTTATGCGCCTGTAGCGTACTATCACCATTACCATGAAACCTGCAACATTGAAAAATAAAAATGCCTTCCATCATCCATCCATATACTGTGTGTGTGTGTGTATACTATATATACATACACCGCAGTGGTTAGTATGATAGGGTACCTGCGAGAATGCGAGATTTGAAGGAAGTGAGGTTCCAGAAAGCTGTAGCGGCGGAGAGTGCAACCATCCTCTTGTGGGAACAGCCTCCCCATCCTTCAACTACCCTCTTCTTCATCCTCTCGACTGCGCGTCATTATCAAAGCTCAACTCACATGGACGTCGACTGTTGAAGATTCAAGAACTATGCAACACTCAACAGCTTTACTCACCTTTCTGGTTTATGGGGATGGAGTAGCAGGAATAGAGCTTTGGAACACTGAAGCCGAGGAAAAACCCTGTTCCAGCAACACACACACACTCACTCGTTATGCATCCAGACAGAGCCCAAGCTCTTTTCTTTGGTTTGTTGATTCAGCCACAAGTGTTTCAAAAATCATACCAACGGCGCATAGCCTCCACAGTGTGATCAGGTGACCATACTCAGCTCCAATTATCAGAAAGGGTGTCACCTGTCATGACAAACACAAGGATAAGCCCCGGATATACACACAGACAGTCCCTGTAATAACACCCAATCATGCTTATACATATAGACAAGAATGCACGTTAAACCAGTCTGACAAGTTTGGAGTGGTGAATTTATCAAGAAAAAAGTTACTTTTAATGTCATCAATGGCTCTCCTGAGAAGAGCTCTCTCATCTTTGAAATCGCCAGGTTGGTCGCCGGAAGAACCCGTCTGGCTATCCGCAAAATGTCCTGCTCCCCCACGCAAAATCCTCGCTTCGTTTCTTGGCTGTTGCTGAAAACAGACAAATGTATCAGAGTACGAGGAACAGCCAGACAAGCTGAGTTGCACATGTAAATAGGGTCGGATGAACACGCCTACCTTTGACAAAGGGTGTTTGACAAGAACGATGCAACGAGAAACAGAAGGCCGAGGTGGGAAACCGCTGAGAAAACACTTCAAACCCCAAAGTTTCCAAATCTTTAGGTACTTCTTTTTCTCAGAAATGAGGCATCTGCCCAAAAGCCGGAAGCACTGGAGGAATCACATACCTAAAGCTGACTCCCTTGGAAAAGAAAGATGACAAGAAACCCAAACATCCAAAACCGAACCAGAGGGTGGATTTTGCAACATCTCTCCACATAACCAAATCATCCACGATTGCTCCAATCCCATCCAAATCGCCTTCACACACATCCTCATCTTATCACACACAAAAAAGAAAGATGAAACCAAACAGCGACATCTACTAAACTGAGTAGAAACGGGAAACGGATGTTAATTAGAGGGGGCGTACTTGGGTTTGAAGGTGGACAAGGAGAAGGCAACAAAGGGACTGAACTTTGCTTCTCCTTCTTAGACCGACGGGTCGTCTTTCGTCTCCTTGGCTTTAGGGCTTCGTCGATGACGACGTTCGGTTCCTTATCTTCCTTCACCTCCACCACCTCAGATCGTCTCTTCGATCTGCGGGCATTCCTCGGCGAGGCACTAGCCAAAATGCCCTTTTGCCCTACCTTCGACCTGCACCGCCTGCGCACGGCCCCAGCAGGCTCCGGAGCTTCGTCCATGGACATTTCGAGCTTGTCAGCCAAACGGGTTCTCGATCTACGGAGCGGAGGAGACAACAAGAGGAGTTCGCGAACAGGAACGGGAGAACAAGAGGATCTAACGGAGGCGGGCGATGGGTATGGAGTACCGTTGTTCTTGGGAGATGGTAGAACTAGATCGAGAGAGAGGTTGGGAGATTCTCGGTTGGATTCGGAAACGCGATGGAGACGAGAAGCTGATCTAGGGTTGGATCGGTGGGAAGGAGGCGTACGCTCCATTTATTCAGAGGCGGTGATGTAGCTCTGTTTGGAAATCAGAATTGAGTGAGGGATTTATGAAATGGGTTTGCTCTGAAATTTATGAACTTTCTTCGTTCGAGTCGAGTGTGTCTACTTGTCTTGTTGGTTCCTCGACCGTGGGTCAGATAGCCGTTGGAGACAAAAGAAAGAACATAAAGTATGGGACTTTGTCACTTTGAATCTTGACGGCGGCATATGGGTCCGTTCTTTTTCAACGGTAAAGCAAAATATGGTTCTTTTTTGGGCCCTTGTCTCATGGGCTTCCAACGGTAAGAGCTAGCACATGAGAGGATTATTGAGCAACAAAACAGATAAAACATAAAAAAAAAAAAAAGGTTCATACTTTGAGGCATACATTCATTGAAAGGAACTAAGAAGAGGGGACAGCCTCATTCACTTTAGAGAGTGCCTGTGGACGAAACTCTTTAGTCTGGAAATTGCGTCTCTAAGAGATTGAACCTCAACTGCGAATGTGATCCGGAGCCAGTTCTTGAGTCCAACTGCTCTACCTGCGTTCGTTTAATTGTTAAATGGAACAAGTGCCACTGAATTTAGGTGAAGAGGGTACTACCAGGCAGGATGATAAGCGATTCCTCTTTGGCCAATTTGCAGCAGAAGTCCAAGTCATCTCTAATGTCTTCAAGCAACCAGAGCTTTAACCTTACCATCAGAAACATTGATCCTTGGGGTTTGGAGGGGCAGTTGAGGCAGGGGATCTTCTTCATCTCCTCGTAACATATCTCTCCACATTCTCTTATCAACTCCAGTTTCATGTAAAACCTATCTTCTTTTCCGAGTATTTCAGGGATCGCCCCCTGCAAACCATTTCCATTTACCTTCTTCTGTTTACCGAAACCATGAATGAAGCTCAAGTATTGCAAATATACCTGAATAAATGTCACGGCGTCGGTCGTCATGTTGAGATAGTTGTTTAGACTCCTCACAAACTGAAACAGACAGATTCATTCCATGCTAATTACTGTAAAATCTAAAGGATTCAATTCATGTACTGCTAATGGGAATAACTTTTGTATGATCAAAACATGCCCCACCCACCCCGGATTGTTTAAGGATGTGGTGAGGGTCAAAAGTGACAATCCAACCAAGTCTCCAGCCAGGTAAGAACCAACCCTTTGATAAGCCACCCAGCTTGATCACGGGTGCTATCTCTGCATACTCTGCCATCGACACAAATGCTTCGCTCCCAAACACGAAACGCTCGTATACTTCGTCTGCTATCACCATTATTCTCAGCTCTCGAGCCGTCTCAGCAATCTTCATCCATCACCCGCCTCATTAACATACTCTACAAGAACTCAAATTAAAAAAAAAAAATGATCCAGAAAGGGCAGCCAACCTTTCGCAGATGTTGACGAGAGAGTACATTTCCACAAGGATTGCAAGGGTTTATAATCAGCATGGCAGCGGTTTTATCGTCTGCCAAAGCTTTAACAGCATCAAGATCGACCTCCCAGCCCTTATCGGGCAAGAGGTTGAAATATCGGACCTCGAGTTGGCTGAAAGAGGCTCGGGACCCGTAAGCCGAGAAACCAGGCCTTGGCAGCAGGATGTTGGCTCCAGGACGAGCCAGTACTGATATCAGAACCTCTATCCCTTGCTTGCAACCAGCAACTACATGCACTTCTTCTGGCGATACTTTGTACGACAAATCCCGGGAGATATACTCCGCAACAGCCCTGGTTATGTTAGAAAGAAGAACATCAATCCGAATTACACCATTTGAGGCAATAATAAGGCCAAGAGAACATAGATTATCCTGTCCCCTGCAATGAGAAAGATGTCGCACAAAAAAGCAACAAGTGTCTCTTGTTTCTTTTTTCCTGCTGATATCAGACAAAACCCATTGATCAGACTTGAGGAACTAAACATTAAAAGATATTGACTTGGACTAATTTTCCGCTGATACCCATCATAAAAAAAACGAGAATGGAACAAAAGTCAACGCTTTGGTTCTGAGAAGCGATCGAGAAGAAGAGAATTCAGTAAGAAGGGACTCACTTCCTGGCAATAGGGATACCGGAGGTATAAGAATAGCTGTTAAACTTGGCGGAGAGGAGAGCTTTGGCGACAGCATTCTCAGGACTTGGACTAATTTTCCGCTGATACCCATCATAAAAAAAACGAGAATGGAACAAAAGTCAACGCTTTGGTTCTGAGAAGCGATCGAGAAGAAGAGAATTCAGTAAGAAGGGACTCACTTCCTGGCAATAGGGATACCGGAGGTATAAGAATAGCTGTTAAACTTGGCGGAGAGGAGAGCTTTGGCGACAGCATTCTCAGTGGCCTCATCGATGCGGAAGCTGGGGAAGGAGGAAGGGTCGCCGTGTCCGAGAGCAATGACGGGTCTGCTCTCGGAAGGGTCGAGACTTGAACGCAGTATGTGGAGAACCTCTCGAAGGCCGTCCTTACTCGACCTTTCAAGAGCTTTGTTCGCTCCGAAATTCCACTGTTTCGACCCCTTCTCCTCCATTTCTCACTTACCCTGAAACCTCTTCTTCGTACTCCTTTATGTACATCTCTGAAGCGGAATGGAACATGCCTTTTGTTCCGGTGACAACATACACAACTTATTTATTAACTAATCTGTATAAGCTGCGTGTTTTTTGCTTGTTGTCACGACCGGAAAGCGACGTTGTAAAAAACGTCTTCTGTTCACATATCCTCCAGAAGAGACAAAACCCGAGTTTGGTCAACAGCATATGGTGGATGAACAGTAACAACACCATTTCAAGATTCGAAAATAAGCAGAATGTGCAATGACTCTGGCTCAAATTAATGTGTTGATACTGAATAAACAAGGACGAAGCAAATAAATTCAGTTTTCTGGATAAAGTGTGGATATTGATAAGTTCCCAAGACGCATTCTTCAGTTCCTTACGCAGAGAAAGATGGAAACTTTAGCACAAAGTAGAAGCCGAACCAGAGAGTATGGGGGCTTACATTATCACAAATGAAGGGTGACAATGACTAAAGCAACAAACGTCTTATTTCATCCAAGTATGAGGAGCAAAACCTAATTTGCTTCGGTGGGGAACCTCTTCACTTCTTGGTGTGTCTCTGGGCAAAGTCGTTTAACCTAGCGAACCCTTCTATGAGGGACTCCAGCTCGACCGCAAAAGTGATTCGGACCCAGTTCTCCATCCCAACAGCTCGACCTGCACCACCAATCCTATTCAATTCTTTGACTTGCAGAGAGAAGAGAGAAGAGAAAAAAACATTTCAAGATTTTACCGGGGAGGATGAAAACTGATTCCTCTTTCGCCAGCTTGCAGCAGAAGTCCATATCGTCTCCGATATCTTCAAGCAGTGAGAGGTTTAATTTGACCTGCAGACCGAAAACTGAGTCCAATCTTCGTGGCACAGCGGACTGATCTAATGAGTCTTTGTGAATTTATTTTACCATAGCAAACATCGATCCTTGAGGTTTGGAGGGGCAATTGAGGCAAGGAATCTTCTTGATCTCCTCGTAACATATCTCTGCACATTCTCTTACCAAGTTTAGCTTCGATGAGAAGAAATCTTCTTTTGTATTTCCTATTATATCAGGAATCGCTCCCTGAAACGGAGAGAAGACACAGTTCAATATATCTCCAGCCAAAAATGGGATATCAACAAAGCCTGGGTGTTTTTTGCTCAACCTGAATGAAGGTTACAGGGTCAGTAGTCATGTTGAGGAAGTTTTCAAGGCTTCCCAAAAGCTGGACCGGAAAGAGCATATAGATACGTAAATATTGCTGCTTCTGGTCATGCAGTAAAATGAAATGAGTTTAAAGAAACAAACCCCGGAATCTTTGATGATGTGAAGAGGATCAAGTGTCACCATCCACCCAAGTCGCCACCCTGGCACGAACCATAGCTTTGATATGGCCCCCAATTTGATCATCGGCACAATCTCTGCATACTCTGCCATTGACACAAATGGGTTTCTCCCAAACGCAAAACGCTCATACACTTCGTCCGCTATCACCAATGTTCCCAACTTCCTAGCTGTCTCTGCAATCTTTTAATTTACCAAAATAACTGGCATGAATCACAAATCCACCCAAACAATGAGCCCCCTAATTGCAAGTGTTGATACAAAGCCGTTTCCGCAAAGGCATCCCAAATCCAACAATAAACATCAAGAAACAACAGAAGAACATCGTTATGCCACCTTTTGGAGATGTTGACGTGACCAAACAGTTCCACACGGATTGCCAGGGTTTATAACCACTAGGGCCACTGTTTTGTCATCTGCAAGGGATTCAACTGCATCGAGATCGACCTCCCAATCTTTTTCTGGTAAAAGGTCGAAATAGCGGACCTCGAGTCCAGCAAAAGATGCTCGGCAATCGTATATCGGGTAACCGGGCCTAGGCAGCAGAATGTTTGCACCAGGAAAAGCAAGGACTGAGATCAAGATCTCTATCGCCTGTGCACAACCAGCGGTTAGATAGACGTCATCTGGCGATATCTTGTATGAGAGATCATGAGATATGTACTCAGCGATAGCCCTGCCAGTTAAAACATCGAAACGGGTTGTAAAGAAGCCGATTAAAGAGACCCTCCAATCAAAATGCATTTTGCCCATGAACATGAACGAAACCATTTTCCATTCAGCTCAGCAAGAGTATTAGACATTGAGTTGTTGGTAAAATAAGAATATGTCTAAAACCGTGACAAAAACAAAATAAGGAACATGCAGATCATTCTTTGTGGCTTACAATCTAGAATATCGAAATGCTTGTAAGGAACACAAGAGACCTATTTCAGAATTCGCCCAAGTGAGCGTAGAGCTTTTCAACATAGTATATCAGTTGGCATCAGAACATTGACACTCAGTTCATTTTGATCTCTTTCTTTGCCTTCTACGCCAGAAACAACAAAGTGTCCCCAGTCGTTGCAATTTCCAGCCTTGATTGACAACAAATTCAAACAGAACATCAAACAGAGTTTTGCCTCCTATCACCAGATTCAGACACCACCATCCACACCATGCAAACGCTAATTTTTCCGTAATGAAGATTCACAAAGAAAAATCGAAACTTTGGCTCACAAGGGGAAACTCTGTCCTTCGCTGTAACCGTATGTGATCTACTTAGCCGCTACATATTCTCCAGAAGACAACAACGGGAAAATCACGACGAACAGCAGAATGCCCAAACATTCAAACAAAAAATAAAATCTTACTTCCTAGCGAGAGGAAGACCAGTGGTAGAAGAATAACTGTTGAAGTTGGCGGAGCGGAGGGCCTCGGAGACGGCGTCGACGGCGGAGGGATCGGTGCGGAAGCTGGGGAAGGGAGAAGGGTCGCCGTGAGAGAGAGGGATAACGGATCTGCCGTCACTGTGGTCGATATTACTCCGCAGAATGTCGATATACGTCCGGATTCCCAGCTTACTGCCGTCGATCGCCTTGTTCGCCCTGAAATTCCACGCCTTTCCCTCCATTTCCGTGCTACTGATCACGATTCATGTGGTGAAGTCTGACTGTATTCCTACAAGTTGCTTGTTTTTCTGTGACAGGTGGACCGCGACAGGACACCAGGCGCTCCCTTTGTCTTGCTCAAGGGTCCATAACCATAAAAAAAATATTAGCGATTAATATTAAAAATGAAAGGTTGCCATCATCACGATTCTCGGATCTTTGGAGAATCTGATCGGATGCCATTTCATGGCGTGTTTTCTGTAAGCTTTGTTGAGGTCATCATCCTTGGCGCTGCGATCGACCTGAAGGACCTTATAGTAATCCGCTCCCTTCCGCTACTCTCTTTGTTCCTCTCCCACTGACTGGGTTTTGACCTGAATCCCACGCAGGTTTGCTTTCCTCTTAAAATGGTAGTAATATCCACAGCACACAAGTCAATGTCATCCTTCTTGTCCTCCAACAGCGACAACAGGTCGAGCTTCTTCTTCTTCTTCTTCTTCTTCTTCTTCTTCTATACAGGCGAGCAATCTTGCATGCTATATCTACCATTTGAATTGAATTGCAACAAACAAACAAACAAAAATCATATAGTACTGCTGAGACAGAAGGGTATTACTACGAGTATTGATAGCTTATTTACCATCGTGGATTTACAAAGCATAAACTCAACGAAACCCACATGTTCAAAGGCAGTAAAACTAACAAAAGTAAACCGGCAACACATATAACCGGAGATAATTGGCAAATGGATTGCCTTGCCTCTATATAATAACAGTAGGTCAAGTTAAGGGTGAGAACGGGGTTTGTTGGAATGGCGTCCGTAGAAGCCCTTGAGCCTCTGGAAGGCATCCTCGAGCACGGAAGGGTCCGATCCGATGGATATCCTGACCCAATGCTTTTGCCCCAGAACCACTCCTGTCCCATATATTCTTAACTCTGTCAATCCACCCGGTTCACGCGAATATATTGACTTTTATTAATTTCTACATGATATATATATGATCCAATACCAGGAAGGAGGACGAGGTTTTCCTCTGAGGCTAACTTCACACAGAAATCAACATCATCCACCATGTCCTCCATCATCCCCAGCTCCAGCTTCGCCTGCATATCCATAACATCCAAATTCTCTCTCTCAGAATTACGTGTGTATATATATAATATATATATATATATCAAAATATATGGAAGGGGTATATACCAGTAAGTATGTGCAGGACTCGGGCTTCTTTGGGCAGACCATGCAGGGAATGTCGTTTATTCTTTCAAAGGCCAAGTCCACGTTCTGTTTCAACATCGCGTTCTTCTTCGTGAAGAACTCTTTCTTCGTCTTCTCCAGGATCTCAGGAAGTGCCGCCTTCCAGATAATATTTTACAAAGATATAGTTCAGAGATTTATTTAACGTGGAAAAAGGGCGACAACGAGATGAACAACAAACCTGGAGCAGGCTCGACGGGTCTGGTTTTATGTCGAGAAGCTGCTTGATGGATTCAACAACCTACACATATGGAGAACCAAACACAAAAACAAGGACTGAATTGTGTGTCCTGAATTCAGCAAAAAAGAAAAAAAGGAAGGAGGAAAGACGTATAGACCCCGGTGGAGTGGAGAAGACGGTGGGGGTCGTTAAGGGCGATCCAACCGATTCGCCATCCCGGAACAACCCAAGCCTTTGATATCGAACCAAGTGTAACTACAGGAGCTATGGACGCAAACGTTGCCATCGGAACGAAGGGTTTGTCTCCATAGATGGTCTCCTTGTACACTTCATCTGATATCACCATTATCCCTAGCTTCCTCGCTGTCTCCGCCACCTGTTGGAATCAAATTTGTACAATATGTCATGTATCGTACATCCACTTTCCTTGCAAAACCACGCGATGGATCTCGTTCATTTTGCGAGAGGCGAAACCTCGGAAACAAGAGTATACTACGTACCGGAAATAAAATCCTGAAATGCTCTAAACCTACAAACCTTCTTGAGATGAGAGTAGGTGTAAACGTTGCCACAAGGGTTGTTAGGATTGATGATGACAATGGCGGCAGTGTTGTCATCTGAAAGGGCTTCAACGCTTTCAAGATCGATCTCCCAATCCTTTTCGGGCAGAAGATGGAACCTGCGAACCTCGAGGAGGCTATAGACAGCATGGGTGTTGTAGTGAGGGTATGCCAGTTCCGGAAGCAGAATGTTTGAATGTTGTCGGGCTACAACTTCAATCATTGTCTCTATCCCTTGTGCACTCCCTGCCGTCAGATATATGTCCTCCGCCTTCAGCTTGTGTGGAAGGTCTCCGTTCAAATGATCCGCAATCGCCCTTGACGAAACGTTTAAACGTTAGTTTTTAACGCATTTTGATAAAAGCTCTGCACGAACAAGAATCCAAAGCACCTTCTAGCGGGGAGAATGCCAGCGCCGGGGGCATAAGAATTGGCGGAGCCGGAGCGGACGGCGCGGACTATGGCGTCCTCGGCCTCGACGCACGTGCGGAAGCAAAGGTGGACGGAGGGGTCGCCGTGAGCCAGGGGCAAAATGGTCTTTCCGACTTCCTTCCTACATTTGCTGAAGAGCATGCTCAGCATCCCTCTCATCGACACCGTCGTGGCTTTCCTCGCCGTCTCGCTGCCTTTGAACTTCCAGACGCTGACGCTCCTTTCTGCGTCTGCGTCTCGCGTTTAGCTTCTTCTTCTTCTTCTTCTTCGGTCCTAAAAGGAGGGACGAACAAGTTGGTGTATTGGCTCATGTCTTTTGAGTTTTTCTTCTCCTTCTCGGCCTTTTAGCCCACGGACTGAGTTGTTGATATATATACAGGCTTATCAGTCATGACAACTTTTTTTTTCTTTGCTTACACGTCACAAATGTGGTATTTGATTTTATGTGAATTTTCAACATGTTATTATTACTTTTCTTCTGAACAATAAATTATATTATTTTTCGAAAAGTATAACTACTACTGGTTTTTCCAAATTTCTAAATTAAATTTATGGATGATAAAAAAATGCAGATTTAAATGTCTGCAAGTGACAGGAAAAGACGAGCAACACAAATTTGTCAAAGAATCCAAACCATATACTATTGAGTCATATTTTAAACAACTAGATTATTTTGTTCATCTTTTTCTGTCAATCATTTTCGGCTAATAAAGAAAATGGTCTTAATTGAGGAACGACAAACTTAGTTGGGAAATTATACGCCTATATATACACATATACATATGTAGATACATATATCCATACATATACACATACATACATATATTCATACACCTATATAGACCCACATGCATGTGTCTATATATATATATATAGTTATATATATATATGCATACATACACATACACATATACATATTTATATGTATTTATCGTTTCGGATACGATATCTGACATGATAAATTTCATGAAAACACGTCAATATTGACCATTAGAAATTTAACTAGTTTTTTGGACGATCAAAAAGTTGGAAAAAAATTCAAAAGTTTACTATTCGTTTGGTAAAAAATTAATAGTTGGTTGTGAATATTACAAATGAAAAAGTTGGAATTTTTTTCTCAATTATTCCCTTGTGCCAAATATTTCATGGCCGGTACCATATGTTAAACGATCACATTTCTCTCCATATTCGCAACAATCTGTGTTCCATACGATGGAGTCTCTTGTCAGGGAAGGACATTGTTGATGGAGACAGGACAACCCCCCGATGGACATCAGACGTTACGATTTGTAAAATCCCCACGCTTGGAAAGTACTGGTGTTAAGTTCGAGCTCCCAATTTATCATAAAGATGCCAAGTTTAACAATATATCGGCACCATGGACAAACATGCCTCAATTAAAGTCCAAGTTGATCTTAAGAATGGGTAGAATTGTCCTTCAGAGGCCTGGTGCAATGGTTGAAGAGTATAAGAAAAGAGATTGATTTCAGAATTTGATCAATGAAACATTTGAGACTTATTAAAAAACTTCAGCTCCACATATATACAAAATCAGAGCAAGAAAGAGAAAGAAGACAAAGATACAGTAAAAGGAAACAAAGGTATTTCATGGAAATTGAGATAATCAACAAAAGGAAATGAGAAGAAAGAGAATCTCGCAGCGTAATATCCTCGATCATGGCATAGGATTTTCGTCGGTGATTGTTCCAGTAAGAGTCGGTGGGATTAATCAAGGCAATGATGTGTTTTGGGCTTCATCAAGGCCCACTCCATCCAAAGTTGGGCCATCGTTAAAGAGATTTGGCAGCCCAAAGTGATTGATACCAGCTTTGTCCACGTCTGAGTTCTCCTCATCGTGTGTATTTTCTCCAATATTCCCCCTCAAGCTAGGCGTGTAGAGATCGTACATGTCGAACTTGCCAACGAGATAGTGCAACATGTCGGTTGAGGTAGCCTTGGTGAAAATATCCGCCAATTGGTCACAACTCTTCGTGTAGCTCAATGAAATGATACGTTGTAGAACTTTCTCGCGGACAAAGTGACAGTCAACTTCGATGTGCTTCGTGCGTTCATGGAAGACCGGGTTGGTAGCAATGTGAATCGCGGCTTGGTTGTCACAATGGAGAGTAATTCACTACAAAAAAATCCTCGAATTCCAACGGATTTTCCAACGGATTTGTCCGTTGGAAAATTTTCCAACGGATTTTCAACGGTTTTCAACGGCGTTTCAACGACGATTTCCGTTGAAATTCCGTTGAAAATTTCCAACGGGTATCCGTTGGAAACACCCGTTGGAAATTTTTAACGGAATTTTCAACGTATTCAATTGAAAAATTGGGTTAGAAATTTCCAACGGTATTTCCAACAGATATCCGTTGGAAATTTTCAACGGATTAACGTTGGAAAAATCGGTTGCAAATTTTTAACGGAGTTCCAATGGATGTTTGTTAGAAAACAATTCCAACGGAATTCCAACGGATGCCGGTTGGAAATTTTTTTGAAAATTTTAAAAAAAAATTCCAACGGAATTCCAACGGATACCGGTTGGAATTTTTTTTGGAAATTTTTTAAAAAAAAATTCCAACCGAATTCCAACGGATGCCGGTTGGAAATTTTTTTCAAAATTTTAAAAAAAAATTCCAACGGACATCGAATGAAAATTTGGATTTTAATTGAAAAATCAATTGAAATATATATATATATATATATAT